TCCCAGTCAGGTGCTATTTTTAGCGCAGTCCCGCTCTAATTTAAGCACAGGCCCGCGATATATTTAGCGAAGGCCCGTGCTATTTTTAGCCCGGGACTGACTGTTCGTGTCCCAAAGTCGGGACTGTCCCAGTCCCGCGCTAATTTTAGCGCAGGCCTGTGCTAATTTTAGCAAAGGCCTGTGCTATTTTTCGCCCAAGGACTGCTGCACTTCGCCCAGCAACCTGGCCTCTCTACTATAAAAGAGAGGCCGTGCCACTCAAGAAGAGAGAGAGAAACCCTCACTTGCGGGAATGCGGAAGCACTGGCGGAACAACAGGGAGAAGTGAGGACCGGAGCTGCTGCGCTGGAGCAAGTAGGAGAACGAGCAAGACTAAGGCAAGCGAGAGGGAGGTAAAGGGGTGGGGCTGCTCGGGGAAGCAAGGCGGTCCTGGTTCCGACTAGGGCCATTGCCTTCTCCCCTGCCTCCTCTCCTACCTAGGTAGGTCATTGCTATCTCTCTCTTTGCTCCTTTCGCTCCCCCTCTTCTTTCTCCCTATCCCTACTCATTTTCGTCGTTTCCCTTAATCAGGGCGGTCGCTCATGCCTAGGCCCATTTTACTTTCTGCTCGCACCCATTTATTTTATTTTCTGCGCGTGCCCATTTAATTTCTGCACGCACCCAGGCACAACCTGGCTGCCTAAACACCTGCCCCTAGTGCGTGGCCAAACTTGATTGGGATGGATGTGTGCCCAGTGCACTCGCAGGTTTTTAGCTGCACGCTACTGGCTGGGTCGTACCACCCCTCTGGGCACACTTGTTGACTGTCTTGCACGTTAACTGCTGCGTGCTCGATAGCTGCAAAGCGCTGTCATCACTAGTATGTTTGTTCCCTCATCAATAACCCTTGCGTCGCTGCGTGTGATGTTGGTCATCGGGATCCGCGCCCACCGCTGCGCGTGCCATTGCTGTATCAGGGAACCACACGCCCGCACGCACTATACTTGAGGGCCATTCCTAAACCAAGGAACCGTGCGCTCGCGCGCACTGTACCTGGGGGATGATTTGAAACTCGAATGTGCATACTCAAGCGCACTGATCTTAGGATCAATTTCGAACCAGCGTGCCAGTGGGCACTCAATCTGAGTATAATGATCCAGTGTGCCTGTGGGTACTCAATCTGAGTATAATGATCCAGTGTGCAATGGGCACTCAATCTGAGTAAAATGATCCAGTGTGCCAGTGGGCACTCAATCTGAGTATAACAATCTAGTGTGCCAGTGGGCACTCAATCTGAGTATAATTAATCCAGCGTGCCAGTGGGCACTCAATCTGAGTATAATGACCCAGTGTGCCTGTGGGTACTGAATCTGAGTATAATGATCCAGTGTGCCATTGGCACTCAATCTGAGTAAAATGATCCAGTGTAACAGTGGACACTCAATCTGAGTATAATAATCCAGTGTGCCAGTGGGCACTCAATCTAAGTATAATGATCTAGTGTGCCAGTGGGCATTCAATCTGAATATAATGATCCAGCGTGCCAGTGGACACTCAACCTGAATAAAATGCTTGATCGATTTCGGATCAGCGTGCCCATGGGCACTCAATCTGTGTATAATGCAGAGTCGATTTCCGGACCAACGTGCCAGTAGGCACTCAATCCCACTTCGGTGCTTGCTGGCTCAATGATTGGAACATGCATTGCACATCAGGACTGCGCACCAGTACGGTGCTCGCTGGCTCAATGATTGGAATCTGCACTGCAGATCAGGACTGCGCACCAGTAAGGTGCTCGCAGGCTTAATGATTGAAACCCGCCCACAGGTCGGGACTGCGCACCAGTACGGCGCTCGCATGCTTAATGATCGGAACTTGCCCGCAGATCGGGGCTCCCCACCAGTAAGGTGCTCGCTGGTTTATTGATTGGAGCCTTGCCTATAGATTGGGATTGCGCACCAGCACCGTGCTCTCTGGCTCGTTGACTGAGACTTCATCCACTGACCGGTATTATATATTAGTGCGTTGAAGCCGATACTCGCCAGATTCAATACGATAATAATGCAACGCTGTGGACTAGATTCAGCGTTCATATTCAGCCCGATAATGCTGGACTGTTGTGTGGGTCGTGCCTTCATTTAGCACGGTAAAGCTGAACTGTGTTGTGTGGACTGTGGTACCTTGGCCTCAGTGAAAGTTAAGTGGAACCCTCAACTGCTGGGCAGAGTGAGAGTTATTTTTATTTTATTATGCGACCAGCAGTTCTTTTGCTGGTCACGCACGTTGTGGACTATGGTACCTTGGCCTTAAGTGAAGGCTAAGTAGAACCCTCAACTGTTGGGCACAGTAAGGGTTATTTTTATTTTATTATGCAACCAACAGTTCTATTGCTGGTCACGTACGCTGTGGACTGTGTTTAGAGTTCTCACTCAATGCGTAATGCTTGACTGCGGTAAAATATGGATTGTGCTCAGTGTCCGCACTCAATGCAGTAATGCTCGACTGCGGTAAAATATGGGCCGTGTTTAGTGTTTCCACTCAATGCGGTAATGCAGGACCATTGTAGATGTTGGACTGTGTTCGCACTTAGAGTGATAATGATGGCCTGTGTTCGCACTAAAATTTAGTAATGTTGGCCACTTGGGACATCGCAGTATTTTAGTGCGCACAACCAAGTTGTCTAAGTGCGCGCCCAAGCTCGGGCAAGTTGTCTGAGTGCGCGCCCAAGCTCGGGCAAGTTGTCCGAGTGCCMGCCCAGGCTCGRGCAAGTTGTCTGAGTGCGCRCCCAGGTTCGGGCAAGTTATCTGAGTGCGCGCCCAGGCTCAGGTAGGCTGATTTAGTGTGCGCCCGGGTTTAGTTTGGTTATTCGAGTGCGCGCCCAGTCTCAG